GGGAACTAAATTCTGCACCCACCCCCACCCTGCCCGGGCCTTTCTGCACCGTCATCTCCTGCCCCGCCGAGGCTCGACCCGTGAGTGGGGCCGCCCAAAACGGGCCAGACCTGGAGCCCCACTCCCGGCTGTGGGAGGGACGGGAAACCGAGATTGGGCAAAATCAGCGCCCCGTCACCCGCTGCGGACCTCGGGGTGAGGTCTGTGGACCCCGCCCTGCCGCAGGACTCTCAAGCTCTGGGACTGGTTGAGCTCTGGGAGGTAAGGCGTGGGGCGGGGAATCCGTGCGGCCGCACATGCGCAAAGGCTCTTCAGTGTCCCAAGACCCTGGCTTCCCCGCCAAAGAGCCCGCGCAGCTAGTTGGGGTTGGGGGCTAGGACCCAGCTCCACACCCCGCCACGTGGCTCTCTGGGAAGCATCGGACCTGTCACCCTCGAAGAACTGGCCGCTAAATAACTTCGGTATTGAGAGCTCTGAGAGCCTCAAAGGGAGGGCCCAGACCAGCTGGAGTCACTACCCCTAGACAGGATAAAGGGCAGGACTTGGGGTCATAGGAGGAGGAGGCTAACATGAAAACAACGTAGGCTGGAGAAAAGGAGGGGGCAATCCAATCTGCACCCTCCCTGTGTCTGTCCCAAGTAGGTGCTGTCCCCCTCTCCCTTCCTATGCCCACCAATTGGAGGGACACTCTTAGGAAGCCTCAGTTGAAGAAAGCAGATAATCTGCACGTACACAGTGCAGTGATGTCAGTTAATGCGGTGGTGAGGACATATGTTGTTCACTGGGTACACAGAAGAAGGAACCACCTGCCCTTGGGACACTTAGACATTGGTGTAGACAAGGGAACATTTGAGTCCCGGAGGATGGATAGGTTCATGAAGAGGAGGGAGGGGGAAAGGATTCCAGTCTTAGCGATCAGCATCAGCAAAGGCTCCGAGATGCCAGAGGCATAGTGAGTTCTCCCAGCCCTGACTCGTGGAGGGAAGCTGGGAAGGGCCTGGCTGTCCAGAGTGGTGGGAGGAGGCTAGAGTAGCCAGACCAGATACTTTTGGTTCTCTCAGATGGGCAGTGGGGTTGGCGGGGGGAGGTAGATAGGTATTTAGGATGGAATTCTGCTAGACAGGAAAATATAGTTAAGTTCCTCATAGTTCAGGCTGGAGCAAGTAAGATTCCAGTTTTACCACTGAATCTCTGAGCCTGTCTCTTTCCTCATCTGTAAAATAGGAACAGCAATCCTAGCCCAGAGAGTTGTCAAAATCACTGTGCTATGGGGCCTAGTGGAATGGGAGTGAGAGGGGCTCAGAGGAACTGTTACAGGACATGAGGTGACGATGGTGGGGTGGCAAGGCAGGAGCTGATGGAGACTCACTGAGAAGTGAAGCAATACTCATCACAGATGGGACAGAAAGGGAGATGGAGGGGCAGGGGGTAGTCCTGGTCTCAGCTTGGTGGCCCGGGGGAAGGGCTTCAATGGGAGGGAGCCAGGGTGTGACGGGGGAGGTATAGCATGACACCAGAGGGTACTGAGAGAGACCTGGGAGGCAGGATGGCAGCTAGGACCAAATCCTCTCTCCCAGAGAAGGTCCAGCCTCCTAGAGCCAGGGAAGGAGGCGGAGGAGGGACAGCAAAAGGAAGAAGAGATGGGAGGATGCCTTGTGAACAAAGCCAAGGCGGGGAGGAAGGGAGGTTTTATGGGGGTGGGGGTGGGCTGAGGGCATGGTCCAAGACCTGATGTCTTTGCCTCCTAATGCCGGGGGTCTTGCTGGCTGGGTAAAGTCACTCATAGGAATGGGCCATAATCCTTGGTTGGCAATAAATGGACAAAGCAACCGAGTGCGGTGGCTCATGTCTGTAATCCCAACACTTTGGCAGGCCAAAGTGGGTGGATCACAAGGTCAGGTGTTCGAGACCAGCCTAGCCAACATTGTGAAACACCAACACCATCTCTACTAAAAACACAAAAAATTAGCTGAGCGTGGTGGCAGGCGCCTGTAGTCTCAGCTACTTGGGAGGTTGAGGTAGGAGAATCACTTGAACTCAAGAGGCGGAGGTTGCAGTGAGGAGAGAATGTGCCACTGCACTCCAGCCTGGGCAACAGAGTGAGACTCTGTCTCAAAAAAAAAAAAAAAAAAAGGTTAAAGCAAATTAATTCTCCCTAATAGCTGCTGTTGGTAGAGATAGTCTCTCAAGAGTAATCCCAGCAC